ACACATCATAAAGATGCTGCTGAGAGGGGTTGTTGAGACAGGTCATCCAAAATCCTGACTCCAGTGGAAAGGCCTCCCTCTGTGGGTCTGAACTGCTGGCTCAGTCTGGTGTCCTGGCTCAGGGCTCCAGAAAATTTACTGTGCATGTGAGTCCCGTGGGGAGCTTTTAAAAATGCGGATTCTGATGTAGTAGGTCTCGGATGGGGTGGGAGCACGGAGAGTCTGTATTTCTAACGTGAATTCCAGGTGAAGATAATGCAGCTACTAATCCAAGGACCGAATTTTCAGCGGCATGGTCCTTGTTGAATTTCTGGAGTCTATTCCACTGTTGATCCTCCTAAGAAAGATCCAGGTGTCTCTGCCCTAAAAAACCTGGGCTTTGAAGGATGGAGGACATTTGAATCCGTGCAGAGCAGTGTGGAGACCATGACCCAACCTCGTGAGCATTGGACTGGGCAGACAGAGGGCAGAAGAGGAAGGACAGAGGTGGAAGTGAGCATCTTCCTCCAAGTGCATGCTACCCATTCCCATCTCCAGAATTGGTAGAATAAAAAATTGAATTGGATCAGACTATTATCTTGGAGGACTTTGATTCGTAAACTGACTTTAGACTATTACATCAACCTCTACGTGAAATTTCATAGCGACTATGTATCAGATGCAGGATAATTTTAGGCTGGGCACAGTGGCTCACGCCTGTAATCCCATCGCTTTGGGAGGCTGAGTCGGGAGGATCCCTTGAGGCCAGGATTTCAAGATGAACCTTGCAACATAGTGAGACCTCCCCACCACCCCCGTCTCTACAGAAAAATAGAAACATTTTCTGGGCATGGTGGCGCACACCTGTAGTTTCGGCTACTCAGGAGGCTGAGGCAGGAGGATCGATGAGCTCGAGGTTGCAGTGAGCTGTGATTTTGCTACTGCACTGCACCTCAGCTTGCGAGACAGAGTGAGACCCTATCTCTAACTGAACATTTTAGGTTGTATGTGAGCCACTAATACTTTCTGATATCCTTAATATTAATAGTTACACTACCTTGTATTTATCGTAAGAGTTTAGATACCTGCTTTCTTCGCCAGTCTGTGAGCTTCCTGCATATGGTGGCCACATTTCATCTGTGGTTCTATTTCTGGGCCCTGGTCATCATTGTTCAATACATGGAGCGGGGCCTGGGTAAACTTAGCCAGAGGTTCTGTAATAAATGTAGCTAAACTATGTTGTGTTCTCAGTGTTGGCACTGTTTTCGCTAGCACATAAAAATGTAAAGACCTGGGAAAAAATATTTCTGAACCCCTCTAATCACTCCTTGGTGAACAAAGGTTAGTATTATAGAGAGCGTTAGTGATGTTTTCAGAGTATGAATCATTCTGATAGATGACAGATCGGTGACAGACAGACAAATCTTTGACAGATTCTGGAAAAAATGCTAAGTATGTGTTTAAAGCTTTTTTCAAGGGATCTTTCTTAATTTCCTTATTTTGGGAAAAAGGCTAGATATTTGCAAACTCCTCACAAAGACTTTTCATGTATTTTCCTACCTTCCCTCAAATAAGAATGAGAGGATATTAACAAAATAATTTTTTGAAGCATTATATTGTATTAGCTAATGAAGTGGTTAATGAGGATGTTTTATAATAGAACTTGAACTTTGGTATACAAGGAAAAATTGAGACCATTTAGTTTTCTTAGACTGCTTTTCCATAAGCTTTTTTTTTTTTTTTTAACTTGTTTGGTTTTTCTGATGGTTAAAATAATATGTATTAATTGTAGAAAGTTTTAGGAAAATATGGAAAAATCTAAAAAGCAAAATAAAAGTCATATACGATTCCCAATATGAAGAAATAACGTATCGGCATATTTCATGTGTGTATCTTGTGATATCTGTCTGGTTTTGGTGTCAGGGT